ACGGGATGTATTTAGTTTAAGGCTTAAAGATGATTTCAGTTTCAGAGATTAATCCACTCTTCTTGGTTCCTGAGAATTTAGAATACATAGTAATTTGAAATGATAATTCTATAATTTTCCTCTTTTGATGAAGATTATTCTGTGGGATCTTTGATCAAAATGTTCATTAATTGTCACTACTCAGTTCTCAAGGCAAAAGTGGTAGTTGTTGATTGAAACAATTATCCACATGTTCCATCTCCTACTCCAGACTCTTTTGTTCAGGTGAATAGAGATCAATTATTGTGCTGCTTGCAAGCTTTAAGACCTCCAGTACTTTTTCGTGTGTTTGTTTGCCGTTTTTTGTGAAATGGCTCAGTCTCAAAAGAACAAATACTGCATATCACCACTGTTAGGAAGCAACACTGACATGGAGGGTTGGAAAGAGAATAGGAAAAGAGGGGATAGATAATAACACTGTATTGGAACAGATGAGGGAGAGAACTGTTTAAAAGGAATATATGCTTAGGTGTTGTATGTAAGACAACAGTCTAGAATAAGAGATGCATTGAGAAGAGAGCTGGGGGAGGGAGATGGGAGAAGGAGGGAATAAAGGAGGAAAGGAAGAAATTGTGCAACGATGAATATTTTTAAAAAAAATGAACTGGGGGAGGGGGAAGGGAGGAAAATGTGCACCAATGAATGAGTGAAAATCCAACATTTTTGTAAACTTTGTTAGAAATCACAATTTAAAAAAAAAAGACCCCAGGTACCATGCAGTACACAAGCACCAAATATGCTCTAAGGTCACTTAACCGGGATGATGGCCCGTGAAAGCATTGCCTTAAGCCTCTAAAAACGTTATGCATAAGTAGCCTCAGGAGCTTCTTCCCAACTCTTTGTCATTGTTGTAAGTATATCTGTCACAGAACTTGTGTCGATGTCAGTTTATTGACAGCAGTTATGCAAACTGACTATGCAACCCCACCTTTAATCAGTGTGATTTTTTAAAAAAAATTTTTTTATTTTGTGTGTGTGTACTGTCAAATCGGATCTGACTGGTACAGGAGGAGATTGTTCTTCCTTCTCCAGCAGAACATCTTTCTCCAGCAGAACGTGGATTCGAACCGCATACCTTTGGGATTGCCATGTAGCTTCTTGCCACTAGGCCACCAGAGCTTCCTTAATCGTGTGGTTTTTATATCATTGTTAATCCTTTTCTCCCTTTCTCCCACCTCTGGTAACCACGAATGGACTTTGGTTTCTATACATCTGCCTTCTCTTTTTTATTTAAATAAGGTCTTTGAAGTGATGTCTTCAGGTTCCATCTATACTATAGACTGTATCAAAACCTCATTTTTCCTAGTAAGGGGCTTATTAGTATGGTGCAGACATTTTCAGGGGTGCCTTTTTTATAGCATATGTTCTCATTGTATGGTAATTCCTTCAAACACCTGTCATCAGACTAAAGCTAATAATACCTGGTGTTGCATGACTGCAGATTTAGAAAGTTCATTTCCTTTTCAAACTTATCAAAATGATGACTAATGGCACCGTGAATAGACCATATTAAGTGGACAAAGACTAATAAAATGTCACTGCTTAGTGATTCATGGCCTCTGAAGTGATTTTGTTTAGGGAGAATGACTGACTGACTTTGTAAATCAGTCTGCTGGGTGAAGAGTGATGAAAATGTATTGGTTTCTTAAGTCCAAATTTCATGATTAGCATATACCCAAGGACCACTAAGAGGGAATACTGATATTTTAAAATACATGGCACCTGTTAGGTATAATTTTTAGAAAAATGCTAGGTGTTCACATTTTTTATTTTTTTCTTCTGCTTTCTTTTTTTCCCCCCTGTGTACATAACATTGTATTTTTTATTATTAAATTTTATTAATTTTAATGAACATTTACAGAGATTTTGGGTTTTCATTCATTCATTGTTGCACTATTTTCTCTACCCTCCTCCCCAGTTCGTTCTTCTTTTTTCCCCCCTTGAAAGTCTGTTTTAATTGTCCAATTGTCACAGTGTTTGTCAAAGCCAGTTCTGATTAATCTCTTTTGTCAGTGTGTCCTTTGCCATTCCCTAGCACTTCTCCCTGAGAGAGACTTCACCCTGATCCATAAGGAAAAGGGGATGGCGTATTCTCTTAGCTACTTCCTGAGGTGTTCACATTTTTGTGATATCTTACTGATAATATTCCTTTAATTTGCTAAGTATCTGAGTACCTACAGTGGTCATACCTGATTAGGTGATGGGACATCTTTTATAAGAATGCACAACATCTAGCACAGATGGGTATGCGCTTTCATAGTACTGGTAAACCTGAAAGAATACGTAAATTGTTCCAAGTTGGAATAAACTATGTATACAATTAATATTATGCCACTTGAAACTTTGAAACTTCAGAATTTGAGCAAATTTATCAGAAACCTCTGTATTGAAATATTGGTATTAATTAGCAGAGGCTATATATAAAAATAATTTTTATACCTTGTGGAGCATGAACTTTTTTTAAAAAAAATTATTTGTGTGTGTGTACCATCAAATCAGATCTGACTGGTACAGGAGGAGATTGTCCCTCCTTCTCCAGCAGAGCATCTGGTGGATTCGAACTGCATACCTCCAGGATTGCAGTGCAGCTTCTTGCCACCAGGCTGCCAGAGCTCCCAGAGCATGAATTTTTGAGACAATACAAAATTGCTCATTGTTGCTATCAAGTAAAAACTGACTTGACTGACCTTCTTTTGGGTTTCTGAGGCTATAAATTGCATGGGAGCAGATTACCTATCTTTCCGCAGCAGAGCTGCTGATGGTTTGGAACCACCAGAGAGGCATGATCTTTGGGTTAGCAACTCCCTATAGATTATGACATCAACACTCCCCTTAGGAGGGGGAAAAAAAGAATAATCAGGCAAATGCTGTCTTTTGGAGTAGGGAAAAGGTCAATATGGACTAGAATAATAATCCTGTGGGTTTGACAGTGGGGAGGGGGGACATTTTGAGGCCCCAGAGTTTGTTGGGCAGAACAAGGGGGTGAAACAGTGAGGAAAGATCCAGTGGGGACCTGAAAAGGTAGGGTAATGGTGGGCATGGATCAATGGAGGTTAATTTTATAAAAAAAATGTATGGGAATGATAATATGAAACACAATGTCAACAGAGTAATTTGTGAAACACAATATATATAAATGAAACAGAATGTATGCAACTTTCCTATGCAAACCATTATAAAATTAAAAAAGAAAATGAGCTTAGAACAATTGTGGAGATTTTCTAGAAAGCTCTAGGGATAGGCTTTAGGGGTCTAGATGCGTGTCCCGGAAAGGAGATTTTCAGAGTGAGATAACCACATAAGCAAAGGCACATAGTTTGGAATGAGCAGTGACTTTGTGGTACAATGAGTAGAAAAGTGTGAAGGAAGTAGAGGGTTGACCTTGTTGACCAACATCAAGTTGGAACCGACTCCTAGCTGACTCTTCAGCAGGTTTTCAGAGGCAGTAAATCACAAGGGAGGAGCTTGCCTATCTTCCCCGTAACAGCTCGTGGATATGAACAGTACCTTTGGGGTTGGCAGCACAATTCTTTATCCCTAAACTGATGGAGCTCCCTAGAGGTTGACCTGGAATAGATAAATTAGAAGGGTGGATTGAACCTACATGCAGAGGGCTGAACATGGCAGGCTTATGACATTGATTCAAATGATGTTCTTATGTGCTATCAAGTCATTTAAGTGACACATGAACAATAGTGCAAAACCTTGCCCTATCCTGTAACATCGTCACCATCTCTACTACTCTCAAGCCCATTGTTGCAATTGCTGTGTTGCTCTATTTTGGTAAGAATCTTCTTCTCTTTTGATAACCTATCTCCTTTCCCCAAGGATTGGAGCTTCCTGAAAATTTGCCCAAAATATGTGAGAGGAAGTTTCACTATCTTGGACTTTAAGAAGCACCCTAGTCACACTTCTTTCAAGATAGGTTTTTTTCTTTTGGCCATCCATGGGATACTCCGTAGGCTTTGCTAACACCATAATTCAGAGGCATCATTTCTTCTTTTTTTTTCTTATTTATAGTCCAACTTTCATATACATATGAATCAATTGAAAATACCTTGGCTTGAGTTAGGTGTACCTTAGACTTTAAACTAACTTTAAAATATCTTTGCTATTTAGCACTTTAAAGAGGTCCTTGACTGCAGATTTTCTAAGTGCAACACTTGATATTTTGACAGCTGCTACCACAGGTATTGATTGTGGATCTAAGTAAAATTAAATCATTGACAGCTTCATTCCTTTCTCCTCCTATCATGAAGTTGTCTGTTGGTCCAGTATTGGGGATTTTTGTTTTCTTGTTGTTGGGTTGTAACCCATATTTAAGGCTGTAGTCTGACCTTCTCCATTAAGTGCTTTAAGTCTTCACTTTCTCCAAGGAGTCTTGTATCATCAGTCCAATGTAGGTTGTTGGTGAGTCTTCCTCCAATCGTGATGTCACATTCCATGAGCCACAGGAAAGGTTTTGGATAAGAGATTTATATCATTAAGGGAGTATTTTAGTCTGTGACTATAAGCAGTGACTTTGTGCTGTGGGTAGGGCCTCTAAAGGTGATGCCCTGGACAAACAGCTCCATAGTGTCTTGGTCACTGCCAAATCCATGGAGATCAGGATAGAACCTGGTCTCCAGTAGGAGCTCACAAAGAGCTTGATTCATGAATGAATGTACAGTTTTAGATTTAGGCTCCCCTCCTCAGCTATCTATTGGTATAGATTATGTGACAGTATTTTGTATATTGGACATCTGTGTGTATTGTTTTAATTGTGGTGGTTCTATTATCAGAACCAGTTTGAAAACTTAGCACACAATTAGTACTTTTGAAACATGCCCGATGCAGCCCCTCAGTGAACTCCTATAACTGATAATTCAGTTGAAGAGAGGGCAGAAGTTGCTCAATAGGTGAAATTGTAGTCTTATAAATAACAGTAATGTTCTGTAATTCTTTTTTTCTCCTCTGTCTAGCTGAATCCAATTCAGGGCGAGGCCAGTACCTGAAACGCATCCGCTACCATGGCAGAGGTCGTTTTGGCATCATGGAGAAGGTTTATTGCCATTATTTTGTGAAGCTTGTGGAAGGACCCCCACCTGCACCTGTAGCACCAAAGACAGCAGTTGCTCATGCCAGAGAATATATTCAAGAGCTTCGCAACCGGACCATCATTCACAC